ACTGTATCACAGAAAAATCTGTAAAAATTGTAAACACCGGACCAACAATGTTCGAATCGAGGATCATTATTAAAAGTTATATTCATGGAGCTTCAGCTTCCAAACATTGGCTACGGAATTGTAAGTTGGCGACCAAAGAAAAAGAAAAAAAGAAAAACAACACGCATTACTTACGAAAGGTCACCCGCTTTATAACGTTAACAGATTTGCTTTTGCGAAACCATTTGCAAGTTCTGGTTTGCATGATCAAAGTAGCGTCTAGAACAGGGGACCCCGTCGGTCCTACCAGAGGACGTTTACGTGGTCGACGATACCAATTCGAGCTGGGGTTTACACGCGTCTCCAGCTTCATTTTTAATCTCCAAATTTTCCTGATTTCGCGATTTCGTAGACGTTCAACCGCACGCGGTTCAACCGTCCCAAACGGAGCAAATATTTATCGCGCTAAGGACGAAACGGACGGAGAATTACCGTTTCGAATAATTAAATCGAGCACGTAACGAAAACCAGAAAAATTATAAATATATATATATATAAACTCTGTCCAGAAATTAGCAATTCCACGATTTCCTTCTTTGGGCGCGATTATTCGCGAGGATCGTTGAATAATTCCTCGAATTACGAATAACTTATCTACTTTATTACTTATCTATAAAATTGCGAGTCGACGAATAATCGAATAAATGGATCTAAAATCCGATACAACACGTATATATTACGGTGAAATCGTTTGAAACGCGGTATAAACCGTCTGTTTACGTCTTCCGTGTAACTCGTGCGCCTAAGAAACGATATTTCTTAATTTTAAACCGGATACAACACCGCGTCTAGCTCGATACAAACTGACTAAATGCCGATGGTTTTTGAGCAATTGCGTGTGAACACAATCAAGTACGTCCCCTGGGAACGTTATTGTAAGGTTCGCGTCTCATTGGCTCTACGAGACGTTTGAACCGTGATTTGTAACTGATATCGTCAACAGATCTTCAAAGGGTTCGAACGTATCGATAACGATGAATCGGATAAACGAATAATTTAATTAAATAAACGAACCCTGATCCGATCTTACAAAATACTCTTCCTTCATATGGTACATTTCCCACGACATAATAATTGTAAAATTAAAAATATTTACTCAAATATTTATGCATTATATATACATGCCTTAAAATAAATATTATTATATATTTTGCCTGTACAAATGTACAACAGACTCGAGTACATTTAAATACATAAGAGATGCGTATTTATTAATCGCTTCAAGTAGATACGTACAATTTATTATGTTTAAAATTAAATTTCCCAAGTTATTACATAATGTTTATATCATGCAGGTGCCCATTTGAGAGTTTCTTAGTTTCTTATTAAATTATTTGAAATACTTCCCCCGATATCTGCATTGTTTTACAACTTTACAGACTTTGCTACGAATATTTCTATAAATTTCTACAAATTTCTACATAATTCAGTTTACTATATATTGCAGTTGGTGTGGCAAATTATACAATCTTTAAACATTAACCTTGTTAGTGTATAAGATACACAGGATTCGTTGTGTATCCTAATAATTTGCACAGAAACTATTTCAGTCCAAACATGAAAATGTTGATTTTATGGATAGTTTGAGCACAGATTTTAAAATCAAGCTCTCTAACCATACCTCTCTAATCATACCTCATAATTATCTCTAATAGAAACGAGCAATGATACTTATCTAAACGTAAATTTCAAGAAATTGATCTTTTTATCACATAAATTCGATACATTGATAATATATTAAGAGAAATCATTTACTTCATTGTTTTTCATCTTTATTTTAACCCTTTGGACTTGAGATGCTTTCTTAGTATTCTATTGCCATGAATGCTAAGCTTAGATTGATTTCGAATGTGTCAATCTCTCTCTAATTTGAGATTTGAAAATCAGGTCATCTTTGTCTCAACGACAATCATTTTATCGACACTTTGAGTTCCAAAGAAATTAAACTGAGAGTCACCTCTCGAGTGCAAAGGGTTAATATCTATTGGCAAAACATCTACACCAGTTGTTGAAGAAGTTTCTGCCAGAAATTACAAGAAATACTTTCAACTAGTGTTCTCAATACCCTCATCTTTTTCCTCTCAAACTATATTTTTGCAATAGTATTGCTACTAGACAATACTTGATGCGATTTAAAATGCTATGTGAAATCTACATTACACCAATAATTTCTCTAGCGCTCTTGTAGAGGTTAAAGCACCACAGTCTTCTACAAATTGTCACAATCTCAAAACGACAGAAAGTAACAGATCAGCATATAACTTTGAGCATATAACTTTAACCAGCACAAAGCCATAGAATTCACTCCATTCGATTGAGATTCTTTAAATCAACATTTTAAAAGGGAACAAATAACAAAGGTTACTTTAACATACAAAACTCAAGTTCGAACGAAACTTTGTATAATCATTAAAAGAGGTTTTGTGGATAATTATAAGTGTAATAGAAAGTGACAAATGTTGTACCTTCATCTTTTGGTGTTGGCAGTTGCTTGTCATTTGTCACAGATTCCTGAGACATTCTTCTGCTCTTTACACGTTTCGTCCTCGAGCAAGGTAAATTCACAGCACACACTATACGAACTTTTTTTATGTTTTTCTAGATCCTTTATGTGATCTATCTACGTCTCATACGCCATACATACGTATATCTAATTGTAGAGTTTATACCTAGCTATATATCTTAGTACTGTTTAGTATCACAGATTGGTTTTCCGTTCTATATCGCGGGTTTATCTTTAAGCGAGGAGAATGTGAATTTTCGATCGGTAGAAACGAGCCGTTCGTCGATCGCCCGTGTTCGTTACGATATCGACAGCTCCGGCCGCCTCTCGCTCGTCGAAAAAGTGAAACGAAGAAAAAGTGTTTACGTGCTACGGAACTATGGCTTTACGCACGGTTATAGAAAAGGGAAACGCAAAATAAAATGATCGCGCGAGATTCGAAGTACGTGTTCCCGATAATCGTTTCATTAATTCGAGACGTCCTCCTCCGATTATTAGTAATCCATCGATTTATCACACAAAATGTACACACACAACACTAGTTCACTGCTATGCAAAAATAGAAAATGGCGCACGATCCCCACTTCCGCCGTTGTTTCTCACTGCTTCCTTGATCCACAACGTTGGAGCGTTCTAGTTTCGTGCGATTATGTAGATGGTCCACGCTACGGATGCCTCGTAGCGGCCTCTGTCGCGATACACGGAGTGGTCACCAGATGGCCAAGAAAAATTTCGATAGGCTTGGTTTACTAAATTACGAATGTCAACGATCGATTTACGTGTGTAGCTTGGACTTCTATAACTTGCGTTGCCAGTGATAGCTTGACGCTTTATGCCGAGCGTGACGTCACAACGCGAAAGAGAAGTCTATATCGCTCTATCTCTGTCTCTGGTACCGACTGCTGGCGAAGCCCAACGCGTTGGGCCGAACGTGACGTCACAGAACGAGAGAGAAGTCTATATCGCTCTATCTCTGGTACCGGCTGTTGGCGAAGCCCAACGCGTTGGGCCGACGTGACGTCACAGAGCGAAAGAGAAGCCTATATCGCTCTATCTCTGTCTCTAGTACCGACTGCTGGCGAAGCCCAACGCGTTGGGCCGAACGTGACGTTACAGAGTGAGAGAGAAAGCTACATTGCTGCATTTTTGTCGCTTAGTTTCAATTTTATATAATTTTGTTATATACAAATATAGCAAAATATTGAACTTGCTTCATACGAATTGCTGTAAAGAAATTACATAGCGCGAATATATATCTCTATGTGAAGCACAACAGCAAAGTAAAATATTACCGAGGATCCTGTGAATATAAATATTTATTTAAATTCGAAATAATTATAAAATTCAATCACTCGTTTGTTCACTCTCAAACATCTTACGTATATCACTTAAAAGTACTCGTCTAACAACCATGTAAATGTAACGAAATGTCGGAAACAATGTTCGGGATGTTAATTCTATAACAGTGTGTTATATCAATTTAGTGTGCTACAATATTAAAAAGTATGCTTTATTATATCACATTCTTTTCTTATTTAAATACTTTGTAACCTTTTTCACTTATATTTTTAAATGAAACGAATCTTATTCGATAAACATCCTCTTTATTTTCAGTGTAGCATTGAGAAACACTGGCATTCGAACGTTAAAAACAATTTAAATTGAGAAAGACCAATGGAATGCTCTGTTATTCGCTCTATGCTAGCAACGATCTCTTATCTGGTATTAAGAGATAACTGCTTAACGCGCAGCAGTACTTTTAAGTATAAGATTCTCATTATAACAAGTGGACTCCAAATACTACATTATGTAAAACACAAATAACTATTTTTGAAACGATACGTAATCGAAGTATATTACTGAACTCTTACAACATACATTTTTTTCGTACTCCTTCATGTGGAAGTACTCGATAATGTTTTCTTTTTTTACGAAATATATTAAAATATTAATGATATATTATTTTAAGAAACATGTAAAGTAAAAATAGAACCTTTAATGTTAATTCTCTTCTTCGTGTATCGATGTACTTATCTCGTTGGTTTCATTTTCCTCTGTCTTAATTTGAAACGAGTCATTGGACTTTTGCATTTTCGCATGGTTTACGTCTTCCGCGTCAGAATCTTCTTTGTTGTCCTCTTCATTGGACGACTTCGACAAATTGTTATTACTAGCTAATATATCGATTGAATCTGACTGTCCCTTTTTAATAAAAGTGTTTTCTAAATTCTCTCCGTTCACATCTGTTACCGCGAGTTTCTTTCCTCGTCCTTTCTTTGGCGTACTTCCGTTATCCTTAGCTGCTTTCTTCTGTACATCTTTACCTTCCTTTGCTGTACTCGTATCGTTTTCAGTAGCAACATTATCGTTATTACGATTAGCAGCTTTGCCACGAGGCTTAGCTACTTTCTTTTGTGGCGCTGTCTCCTCCTTCTTCTTCGCAACTTTTCCCTTTCTCGACGTCTGAGTGGATTCTGTACTTTCAGATACGTTATTTTCATTGTTTTCGTTATCCCCATTCTGTACTTCTTCCTCTTCGGGACTGGTGTCGTTTTTACGACCTCTCGTCTTCCTTCCAGCGAGTTTCACGGATGCAGCAGCAGGTTCGTCTATTTTATCATCATTATTTATTGTACATTGTCTACAGTTTTATTTTTATTAACCTTACCTTTTGCGTTAGCTTCGGTTTCATTTTTCTTTCTCGTCGATTTTCCCCTAGATGTGCTTTCCTTTACCGTCGGTTCTGTATTCGCTTGCTTCCTCTTCTTTGTGGCTGGTGGGTCCAAACCGTCTGTGGTTTTGTTGCTGGCTTTTTTAGACTTTCCTTTAGGCTTTGCTTTGGCTAAGGGTAATGAAAGTATTTTTTTTTAAAGATACACGGCTAAAATATACTTGTAATTCTAGTTAAAAAAGTTTGATACAATAAAATCATATCATTGACATTCGTTGTCGAAATTACAATTTACTTGATAGTATATTTCAGTAATATGGACAGATATATATACTTTTGTGAGCTATATTGAATTACATTGAAATATATTGGGCACTCGCAAACGATATCAAACATTCCCAAATATTATAATAAAATACAGGGCAATATTTATCATTGAAAAATTGTTTACTATCGACGGAAATGTATTACATCGACAGCGTAATTAAAAAAAGAAATTAAAGAAAATGGTTCGAAAACGTACGATCCTCGTCGGCCTCCATTCCCGCCTTTTTCGTCGCAGCTTTCGTGCGTGTCGTTTTCGCAGCTTCTACCTTTTCTTTGCCAGTTTCCTCGTTCACGTCGACCTCGGCCTCTTTATTTTTCTTCGCGGCCACGGATTTCGTTTTTGAGTTCGCCTTCGTCACCGGTGCACTCTTTTTCGGTATCGTTTTGTCCGCCGCTTTCGGATTCTTTCCCGCATCCTGGACCTCGGCCTGAGCTTTCCCTGATTTCGCGGCTCTCGGCAATCTGATTTGCCTCTCGTCGTCGCTTTTAACCGCGGCTTTCGCCACGTTTTTTTTTCTTTTCGGAGGCAACACGTCGCCGGGATCGGAGATCTTCTCCGCGGCCTCTTCCTCCGCTTGTCTCGCTGTCTTGCGGGGTGGCATCGTGCTCTGCGAATCGAGGAATCACTTTCACGCGGTCTTTAATTACCTCGATCTATTATATTTAACTTCGGTTCCCGTATATCCGTGAGCTTTCGACAACAAACTCCAGTCGCTACGCCGCACGTTGGCACGTATCTCGATAGCTAACCGGTGTCCAATGTGCTACGATTACCAACGGATCAACGATTCGAACGATTACAAACGTTCGCAACTTACATGACTAACATAGTAGCAGATCGTCGGCTACGGTTCGAAAAGCATTTAGCAATCGAGAATCGATTTTCGGTTTGCACGATGAAACGAATATATTGAATTTCATAATAATTAAAAATGTCCCATTGAAATATATAGGTTATATGCTCTATAAAACTGTATTTAACTCAAGGAAAATTCTTTTTCTTTTTTACACACACATATATATATATATATACGTATATATATTCTTTGTAGCACTTTAGAATTGAGCCTAAGGATGCGTAATTTTACACCCTTTGTGATATGTATTCGTATACTCGTTTTTGTCCGAATGCTTTCAGAAATTGGGTGATTTCTAATTACGATCGTTAATTTATTTTATTTTATTCGAAACATTTAGAAAATTTGTTCTGTAATTAGTCTTATATTGATGCAAGTATTCAACGAGTCGATTTAGTAGAAAGAAATACCAAATGTATGTATGTACATATATACAGGGTGTCCAAAAAATGTTGTAACACCTTGAAATGGATGGTTCGGGAGGTGATTTGGAACAATTTTTTCCTTAGCGAAAATGTTGTCCGAGGCTTCGTTGAGGAGATATTAAGCGAAAACCTCGACCAATCAGAGCGCAAGTATACCGTTGGAGCGACCGTAGTAGGCGTGGCTATGCGCTAGGCGACCGCGCTCATACGCTACCGCTAGCGCTTCACCGGCATACTCGCGCTCTGATTGGTCGGGGTTTTCGCTTAATATCTCCTCAACGAAGCCTCGGACAACATTTTTGCTAAGGAAAAAATTGTTTCAAATCACCTCCCGAACCACCCATTTCAAGGTGTTACAACATTTTTTGGACACCCTGTATATACACGGTGGAGGTGATTTGAAACAACATTTTCGCCAAGGAAAAAGTTGTTTCAAATCACCTCCCGAACCACCTCTTTCAAGGTGTTACAAAATTTGTGGGACACCCTGTATATATACATATATAGAAATGTTGACTAATTCGTTAAATGTACAATAATTAAATTTTCTAAATGTCACGTTTCGAATAAAACGAAATAAAATAACGATGAAAATGAAAAATTACTCTAGTACAATTTTACGAAATATTTAGAGAAATTGATTACCAAAGGCGATTATCAAAAATTGCAAAGGGTGTAAAATTATGGGCCTTAGGCTCAATTCTTAAGTAATCGAGACGAATTTCTTTAAAGCCACCTTGTAGAACATGTATATGTATTTAGCACGGCGTATACGATTCTCGTAATAATTAATAATCGGTCGATATCTCGTTGTCGTTCGTCGATCCGAAAATCAATTGTTAATTGTCGAACCTACTAATAGATAATTAAAAGAATATGTACGACGTTCGAGAAGGAAATATATATGTTTTAACCCTAACACCTTTCGCATTTGTACATTTGTGAAAATAAAAAATTGATTCAATTTTGCAAGTCAATTTTTTCTCTTCAAATGCATATATACTTCGTCATCGATCAATTCTTTACAAATATAATTTAATTGTATATGTATATATATTTGTATAATTGTATGTTTAATAATTAAATATAATTTCACGAGGACTTCAACAAATCGCACAGGTTACATGAATTTAATATAACAAAATAGACGATATGTTATAGAGTACTAGTTACTATATACAGAATATATTTCTTTGTCTAAGAAAAATCGTCGTTTATTTGGACTTTTATTTGCACCTCCGAATTGGAACAAACGTTTTCTCAACCCAATAATATGTACATAATTCCTGCATTCCCTTCTACCCTCGAAAAACATAAAATTGAAATTGTATTTATGTTTATCGTCCATAAAAATATATATTATGAATATTGTGATAGTAGAATTCGGTGAATGTGTTACTTCGATTAATTTTCATATATATTTGCGCTTGAAATGAGTTTTCTTCTTCTTTGTTGTTCAAATAAGTCTGAAAGTTGAAGTAGACGCATTTCATAAGTCCAGGTCAGCACAGATCATTTGATGGGGTTGAAACTGTCATTCGTGTTTGCATGTAAACAAAAGTTATGCAAGTTGTTTCTTTAAATATCATTGAAAATTAGAATGACGTCGAAGTAAATTATTTTAGAATACACTCTGATTTACACGTACTGAACACGTTTAAATTATTTCAAAGGTAAATAGCATTGATATAACCTAATGTCGTTATTTATTTTATTACAATAATTCACACTCAATATCTACGTATATCTACATATCTCTCTCTCTCTCTATATATATATATATATATATATGTAGTCTAATATTTTAGCAAAATTTAATTCATTTTTACCAGGTATTATTGTAATCATAATTCCATAAAACAAATTCCTATATATTATCAAAACATGAAACGTTCTTAACCTCTATTTTCTCTATAACTCCATTAACCTTTATTTACAAACAGAAACTTCACGTTATTCAACGATGAATACCAGCAAAAAGATAAACGTGAATTTTTCCTCACTGGTGGGTCTGAAAGCTGAACTCTTGAGAAAGCAAACCGAAGTAAACCAAGCAAAATTGAGGTCGGAAGTGAACAATCCTGTACCGAAGGTCAAGAAAAAGCCCAAAAAGAGTAAGGAAAACGCGACCAAGGAATCTTCCGATAAATCGGAGTATATAGAAGATGTCAATACTCTTAAGAAATCTAAACTAATGTTGGAAGCCAAAGCGAGACTATATGAACGAATGAAAAAATCGAAGAATAATAATGAAAATTTCCTTGTTGATTTTACGAATAAATCGGACGAATCCGAGGCAGAATCATTGCCAAAAGATGAAGAGGATATAAACGACGAAACATTTGGAAACGAAGACGATTGGGTGGAATACGAAGATTGCTTCGGTCGTACGAGGAAATGTTTAATCGAAGACTTGCCTCTCATGCAGGAGAAAGATAAATTAATAAAGCAACAAATTATAAGTAAAAAAGGAATCGATCTAAAAGCTAATGCCGAACAGAACTTCGTGCAAGAGGAGAAGGAACCCGAAATAGAAATTATGAGAAGAAAGTGGGAAGAACAAACTGCAAAGTTGGCCGATAAAGTGAACATACATTATCAAGATGTATTATTTGACGAAGCCAGAGCTCACGGCGTTGGTTATTTTGCGTTTTCGCAAGACGAAGAACAAAGAGCTAAGCAACAAGAAAATTTGTCCAAGTTAAGGAAGGAAACAGAACAGAAACAGAAGGAAATAAAAGAACTGAAGGAATTACGGGCAAAAATGGAACAGAATAGATTGAAAGCAGCTAGAATTAGACAACGCGTTAGAGCTGGATTGCCGATAGAACCAGAAGAAGAAGAAGAAGAAGTAGGAGAAGAACTTAAGGAAAAAGTTAACAACGAATCAAATGTATCGACTGAAATTAAAGAAGAGGATGAAAGCACTGAAAGCCAGCCTAAAGAAGAAGATAAAGCAGTGGAAAGAGAAAATAAAATCAAAGCTTTAGGAGAACTTTTAGGCAAACGAAATCGTTGGTATGAAATGTCGCAAGAAGAATGGGTAGATAAATGTAGAAAAATCAGAGCTACCGAATTTGGACCCATGTACGACAATTTTAAAAGCGCAGGTTACATTGGTTCCCGTTATTATCCGAATTCTGAAAGTAGCGGTACGTCCTTAAATGATCAAAGCAAGGAGAAGCTTAATGAAACAAACGTTCAGGATGAAATAGAAGACGATACTGAAACGAATATTGATTCTTATGATATACCGCTTCCTCCTACTTTAACAGGAAATCATTTTAATAACGAAGAAAATAATAGTCGGATTAATTCTCCTCAAATAATTGATACTATTGCTGCTAATAATACGCAAAATCAAACAATACAAGCTAGAAGCATAGACGAAGCAAACATAGCGGCAGGTTTACGATATTTAAGAGAGAAATTTGAAGAAAGTCAAAACTCTTGAAAAATTATACTATATTGTGCTGTACATATTTGTAAATATAATTTCTTACAACTGCTAGGAATACTTTTACCTTTCAAACTATAAAGTACAAAAGATTAAGCGTATATTATACTGAACATTGTAGATATTTGTACGTATACATATGTAAACAAGTACAGTATTATAAATACTGATTATAAATTTGTAGAAAATAAAACGATACATACTAAATAAAGAAAACAAAAAATAAATTAAATAAATTAATATATAAAAAAAAAAATTCCATGTCTTCGTTTGTTGAATCAGCCGTTACACCTGTATATGTTTATTCTAGAAAAGAAAATTTTAATTAACTATACATTCGAAGTAAAAAAATAAAAGATAAGTAAAATTTACCAGAGCTATTAATATCGGGAAAAACTGTATTACAGTTAGGACACTTCACAGGGTTTTGAACCATGGCACACCGTTTTAAACAATTTGAATGTAACCTACTTTCACAGTTGCTACACTTTTCGCCCTGGTTTGAAAAAAAAAGATGTTAATAATTAGATTTATTTATATAATTATAAATTTTCTCTGCGAAAACTTACATGAAAAATAACTTGCTTGCAGAGAGAACAGGTACGTAAGTTACTACCATAAGAATCTTTAAAATATGGCATTAATTCTGCTATACTTCTTACACCCATGTAGTAATAACCATTCTATAAACATGACAAATTTACATGAATTACATTAAAAAGTTCATTGTGCTATTACTATTACCTTATAAATCAACCACTTTCTGTCGACTATGTCTTCTAAAAACTCCTCTGCATTTGTTTTGGTTAATTTAACATCTGGCAAAGAACATAAATTCAAACAAGTTGTGCTTTGGATACGTCCATCATTTGATGTTATAATTTCTGAAAATATGTTTCTTAGAAGGGCTAACTGTGCTTTCGAAAATTCCTCTTGAAATCTACAATAATAGTTTCAAAAAAAGTCGTTCAACAGATACGAACAATTATACTATGGTATCGTATAAACACAACTTTAAAAAATGTACCGGTTAACTTCATCTATTACAGTATCTACATAAATCCAGTATACTTGACCTGTAATTTCACATTCAGCTTTTTTGATTAACATATTTAACGGCTGTAACTTCTTGTTTATTTGATTTATTACTAGCGATATTTCATCATTGTCTGAAATATGAGAAATAAGTAAATAGAATTGAATGTGTGTGTGTCATATATATATATATATGAGAAATTAAATATGGAATAAAATTTGCTTACTAAATAATTCAATAACTAATTGTTTCGCCTTGCTTTCCTCCAAAAGTCCTTCGTGCATGATAACTTGTAGAAGCATCTTGTGTTGTTTCGTATAACTCATTTCTTTTCTTTCTTATGTATAAGCTAGAGCAAAATACCGAATCTATATTGTTCTCAGTTTTTAAAACTGTTACTATAATGATTTACTATAACGATTTGATTCCAAGTCTAGAACTTGAAAATGCTTGGAAAGTGGTGAAAAAGTTAGGTTAGTCTTTTTTTCAAAATGAATTTCGTTCGTATCGTACTGCTCCTAGCGAGACTAACAAATTTCCAAATGAAATTTCCAACCACCTACGAATTTCCATAATAAAAGATACCACCTCGATAAACTTAACAACTATCATTAATTATATTTTACCAGATGTATTTCCCTCTTTTCTATTCCCTATTCTATCCGTTTTCTCATATAAAACTAACGAAGTTCGAGGGAAGATAAAAACCAACGAGACTCAATTTTCGCCTCCTCTAGTCGATAACTGTCGCGGCTTCGCTTCCTACTCCGCGACACTTATCGACGAATTCCTGTACTTATCAAAATGGCTTCTTCGCGAAAACTACAACAGGTTACTTACGAGCAACGTTTAGAAATCGTTCAGAAATTGAAAGAAGGTGCTACTCTCGATCAGCTCGCTGCCGAGTATGGTCTCCACAAGAGAACCATACAGCGTTATCGACAAAATGCGATATCGATTCGCCAATTGTCCAAGAGTTCGAATGTTCTGCATTCGAAAAGAATAAGGCCACCCGTGTACGGAGACGTCGACACTCTGTTGTACACCTGGCTTTCGGAGAGAAGAGCCTTGGGAAACATGTTGACTGATAAGCTTTTGATGGAGAAGGCAATGGAGCTGTACGAAGAAGTTGGCGGGCCATTAGACTTTAAGGCGAGCAGTGGTTGGCTGAAGATCTTCAAAAAGAGGCATAACATACATCTTGTTGATATGCAAGGGGAGAATGCAGATACGAATCTATTAGCTGCGGAGAAATTTCAGGATGAATTGAGGAATATGTTGATTAATAAAGATATAGACGAAGAAGATGTCTATACTATCCATGGAACGAGTCTATTGTGGAAAGCCCTTCCAGAAAGAACATTGGTACACGAAGGAGAAGAAGTAAAAGAAGGAAAGATACGAAAAGATAGAGTCACAGTGGCATTCTGTGCCAATGCTACAGGTACGCACAAGTTGCCGGTCCTTTTTGTACATAAGAATGCGAATCCCAGAGCTTTGAAACACTGCAAGCATAATTTACCGGTGGTATACAAGTACCAAAAGAATGCCTGGATCAATGATGATCTTTTAAATGATTGGTACATCCATCACTTCAAGCCCTACGTGAGACAGCGCCAACTGCAGCAGAATCGTGTAGGGAAAGTATTACTTTTGTTAAACAATTGCACAGGGCATATAATTTCAGAAGTAGCACAGGAAGATTATCAGTTCAAACAATTATTTCTGCCACCTAATACGGTAGCCTTAATCGAATCGACGAACCAAGGTATACTCTCAAAATGCAAGAAGTTATTCCGGCATAAATTACTCTGTCAAGTACTGCGACACGGTAACGAAGTTAAACAGTTTTACGTTGACTATGACATAAAAGATTGTATAGATTTGATTGCCGAAGCATGGGATGCGATAACAGCAACGAGTATTAGGCATTCATGGAACAAAATTATGCGTCGACCTTTCTCAGATAACACCTTTCAAGGACAGGATTCGAAAGCCTGGATGTCAGAAGATTTCCAGCAATTCGGGGAATTAATTCACGTGAACGATATAATGGAATGGATCTCCGAATGTGAGAGCGAAGAGGAAAGAATGGAAGATGAAAATTCTGATATGGAATACAATGTTGCAGAAGAAGAAACCGATTATCTATTCAGCGAATTGACAACGTGGGCGAAAGCTCAGCCTGAGTTCATAAAATTACACGCAAACGTTTTAATAGATTATCACAACCAACAATAATACGTATCTGTACATAATTATAATTGAAGAATTGAGTATATAGTTCTCTAGTAGCGAGTATATAGTCTCTAGACGCTTATAAGTGGTTACTTTTCGTTGTAATTTTACTTTCAATGTAACGTATTGCAGAGATATGTAAATATGTACATTTAAGATAAAGATGTAAAATATATGCCGACGTTTGTATTTACAATAGAGGCGAGTGGCGAGGTTACGATCATGTTCGGCAGTTCCTAACTAACCTCAATTCTAAAGTACCCAAACTAACCTCGATTCTAAAGTAACCTAACTTGTTTGATACTTTTTCGAGAGGGGTCGTCGGATTGCATTCATCGAAATAGATTAAATAGATAATAGTCGTAATTAGGCAAGTTGCGATAAGGATTGCCATAAGCTGAACTAAATTTGCGAAAGAACTTACAATTAGTATGTTAATATCAGTTAGTATGTGGTGCGTATAAGAAAGAAGGATAGAGTGTCACGTGGTGTTACGTTCGGCCCACCGCGTTGAGCCTCGCGAGCAGTCGGTACAAGAGAGAAGGACACAGCGATATAGCTTTCTCCCTTGCTCTACGTGACGTCACGTTCGGCTCAACGCGTTGAGCTTCGCTAGCAGTCGGCACAAGAGAGAAGGACAGAGCGATATAGCTTTCTCTCTTGCTCTATGTGACGTCACGCTTAACTCCACGCGTTGAGCGGCTCAACTTGAGCCCTCGCCAGTGGCGTAACGATTGGGAGGGCAGATCGGGGCACATGTAAGAGTGATAAAAGAGACAAAGATACACCCATACATGTTTCTCTGTCGCCGTACGGTGACGTCACACTCGGCTCCGCTGCATCGAGCGGCTCAATGAGCCCTCGCTGGCCAGCCCGCTAGCGAGAATCAGTTAGGCGATGCTAGCCCTCTGACGAGGAACGCGAGAAGCGTGAGCGTACTCGGGGCCAGAAAAGCACGCGAAACATCATGATCCGTCCAAATATTAGCATGCATTTATCGGGAACGAGAAAAGGGTATATCGCGGCACGATAAAGTCCGGGTTGGACGAGGCCGACACGTATAGAGATCGTAGCTATCTATCCGCATAGTACTACATAGTACCGTACCGCGAGGGCGCGAGGCCGCGACCCTGAGCCCGATACGCGAGACGGGGAATAGAGCGTTTCGGTAGCGGAATAGTGCGCGGAACAAATACGTGTCAAACTCGGTCCACGGATAAGCGAAGTGGAGCATCGTGCGGTGCACACGGGTGTCTGCTATCGTTTACGTGCGTAAAGGTCGAGAGTTCATGATCATTCAGCGCCTCGAAACGATGATTTTACGAGGCGTTTGACGACGGTCTCTTTCCCCCTTGCTTTTTTTCGTCGGCGTATGATCGGAAATTAATCAGCGAGAGGCGGCCGTAGAACTCGCGATTCTGGACGATTTTCGCTGGACGGTTCCCATACATACGCATAACCTGTCAGGAATTTCTGGCCCGCTGTCCACGCAGCCACGTTCGAAGAAACTTGGAAAAGTGGTGCGACCGTTGAATTTCTCTGTAACAGAGGCTCCCGAAGATGCCGCTCTTCGGTAAAAAGGATTCGAACAAGAAGATCAAAAAGGATGGCAAAGACGACAAGTCGCCTTCCGTTGAAGACAAATACGTCCTTAAGGAACTCCTCGGAACGTACGTATCACCGTATCGATACGGGATCGCGTATCGAAAATAGGGCTGGGACAGCTCGTCCAATTTCTTTTCTCATTTCGACGAGCGTCGTTCGAATATTCGATTATCGAACCATTCGGACGTTCAATTATTTCGAGTCTCGAATTATTCGAACGCCATCCGAATATCGAATTATTCGAATATCGAACCACCCGAATATCTCGGTATCCGAGCATTTTGCGCACCGCTTGAATATTCGTCATATTCCGAATACCATGGCGTGGACTATGAATCGAGTTATTCAAGTTCACTGTTTTTTTTCTTTTTTTTTTTCTTTTTTTTTGCAAACTTTATCTTTTCATTTGTAAAATTGTGACCGTAGTTTTATTACCTCGCAGTCACTGTAGATAAGATATAGTTTGCCAATTTGGTTACAGAAGGAAACTTATGCTCGTTTGTATTAATAGAGAAGCTCGTGTATATAAATGTAAGGAAGATAATTAGGCAGGCTTGAACGAGCAATTTGTTTGTTTCGACCAGTAGCGTACCTAGCAGAGCTCCAATCAGGGGTTTAAAAAACGCAACAGAATCTAAGAATCCCTAGAATCGAACTCGTAAGATTAATTTAACAATCATAGGTTCCTTCTATGATTAGCTTCAAAAATACAGTTAAGCAAACTATAAAGATAATATTTACTATTTATATTAATATTTTCTAACCATCCATAAAGTTGTACAACTTAAACTATTATTGCATTCAAACCCTGGTTCTTATACGCCTGTATGCACCATCTATTATCGCATGAAAACACTTGGATAAAATCATGTCAGACTTAATTGCACGCAGTCCGTTACTGAACTGACAGTCCGTTACTGGTCTGGACAATGAATGTTACAACACATTGCATTAATGAGTAATTGCATAAGTCTCATTGTCTTATTCTGTGTATCGTAATGCAGTGTGCAAACTTTTTACAATCGACGCTATTTTTACATCTATTCTTAATGAATGTTTGATATTTTCTTGGTACAACACCGTATACTACCAAGTATAATAAAATTGAAGCATTCGATTCGATTACGCGCTGTTTTCTTTAGGGGTGCTTTCTCCGAGGTACGTCTGGCAGAAAGTAAGGACAGGCCCAGTCAGATGTTCGCAGTGAAGATTATAGACAAAAAGGCACTGAAAGGAAAAGAAGACTCCTTAGAAAATGAAATCAAAGTGTTGCGGAGGTAGACTGTTGTAATAATACCTAGCAGTTAGGAAATCGTACGTTATCCGTTCTCAATATACTTGTTGCAGGTTAACGCATCCGAATATTGTACAATTGTTGGAAACATTCGAAGACAAACATAAAGTTTATTTAATTATGGAGTTGTAAGTATTTTTATAACGCGAATACAAATTTAATCGACGGTGTTACATATAGTTATTCTATTCTATTAGGGTAACTGGCGGCGAACTGTTTGATAGAATCGTTGAAAAAGGTTCCTATACAGAAAAGGATGCTTCGTACTTGATAAGACAAGTCCTCGAAGCTGTGGACTACATGCACGAACAAGGCGTCGTGCATAGAGATCTCAAGCCTGAAAATCTTTTATATTATAGTCCAGACGAAGATAGTAAGATTATGATTAGCGATTTTGGTTTATCGAAAATGGAAGATTCTGGTATCATGGCAACTGCCTGCGGCACTCCAGGATACGTTGGTACATATATACAAATACCATTCGTCTTACTTAACACTAAGTCACAAATTTAAAAGTATTATTTTTGTACGCAGCTCCAGAAGTTCTAGCGCAAAAGCCATACGGGAAGGCTGTGGATGTTTGGAGTATAGGAGTAATTTCTTACATTCTGTTGTGTGGTTATCCACCATTTTACGACGAGAACGACGCAAACCTATTTGCACAAATCTTAAAAGGTAACGATGCTATTTTCGAGTGCAAGTTTTTGGCATTTGGAAGGACCATACTATCACTTCGGTTCAGTTACTAGGATCTTACTTTTAAGATCAAGCAGATGTACATTAACTTAAAATTTTCATTTTTTAAGGTACTATTCTAGTTTTTGTATGCCGCTGTATACATGCTAGGGTAGTAAGTAAATGTTATTTTCCGCGGGTTCGCGTTTCTCGCAAAAGTTGTTCCTTTTCAAAAACTAGCACTCCAAATTATTACTGTATAATCGAAGCGGCTGAGAAGGGTTTAAAGCGAGTCGTGAATTTTGTACAAAGCGTGAAGCTAACAGTATTTCTTCCAAATAAATGATTTGACTTAAACGAAATAACAAAAGTCGTCTACTCTATAGCAAAGAGCTAACCAGACTGTTATAGGTGAATTTGAATTTGATTCGCCATACTGGGACGATATCAGTGACTCCGCTAAGGATTTCATTCACAAGTTGATGTGCGTCAATGTCGAAGAGCGCTTTACGTGCAAGCAAGCACTCGCACATCCCTGGTAAGATCATCGTTACTTCGAAACGCTACGCATCATTTTTCTGTTACTTCAAGTTACTTGAATACCGAAGAATTAGCCATTTTTGATCAAAGTTTTAGAGTACGCTAGGTGGTTCGATAGCTTCGATTGTCTTAGTTATTTTTAGAGACGCGTATATAAATAGTTTATTTGCAAAAGTTATCTATGTTCGATCGCGTCGAAAGACCTTGCGTCGTAAAACTACATACAACTTTCGCGAATAGACTTATTTCGAATTTTCAAAGATAACGGAGACGGTTGAAGCGATCGAAATTTGTTCCCGACCCTGTATTTGTGGCTGTGAATATTTATAAAGTCATGTTTTAAAATTCAAGCAGTAAGAGTATTACAAGGACAGAATTGCCTTTATTATTAAGATAGATATGGATCGAGTAAGTAGAAGAATTACATTTATTTTGTCATCCATTATTTTAACATAACTCGAGTTTTCGTGTACGCATAATAATCGATACCATCGCAAATTAAAAATTCAAGTTAACCCTTAAAAAATATCCTCGGCAAAAGTTTCAATTTCTTAACACGATGAAGACCCTCTCGACGCATATATCTATTAAAGTAATTAATCCTCTCGTGCACGCATCGCAATGTTAACGATCGTTCTATTAATATTTTCTAAACGGTTCTTGTTTCGTAGAACCATTATTGTGGAACGTTGCAAGAAATGATTTCATTCTATGAAAATTTTCCATTCGGCCGAGACAAATCGATTCCTTGCGTAATTTGCAATTATACTCGGGTTTTCTTTTTTTTTTTTTTTTTTGTAGAAACCTCACTTGCAATGGTATCATCAAAGTTGAACGCGTGTTTTTTGTCTCGCAGATCTCAGATCATGTAAATGTCTAGCTGTGATATAATTTAATTTTCTGTATTGTGATAAATGTACTTATTGCAATACAATTGTGATATAAGAATCTAGAAATTCGATGCATTGTATGAGGGTGCACGAGAAGATTAAAGGAGTTAGTCTGATACTCCATAACTACGCATACATTGTTAACCCTTTGCACTCGAGTCCTTTTTTCCTGGTATCTGCCAGCAACTCGAGATGTCTCTTAGCATTTTATTGTCATGAATTCTAATCTAGATTTGAGAATAACCTCACTGACAATCATTTTATTGACCCTTCGAGCTCCAAAGAAATGAAATCTAAAGAAAAATTAGGTATCGTAGAGTTGCTGCATGGAACCTAATGGTGACTGAGAGTCACCTCTCGAGTGGAAAGGGTTAATGACATCGTACCCTGTGATCTGACGTGGTGTAATTGATTTTTGCAGGATTTCGGGCAACGCAGCTAGCAATAAAAATATCCACGGTACGGTATCGGAACAACTTAGAAAGAATTTCGCCAAATCAAGGTGGAAGGTTAGTACGATCGTCTAATTATCATGCTGCTGATTGTGTGTGTTTGCTCGCCAGGCTCCGTAGGAAAGTCTTCCTCTTCTCTCATGGTTGCAGCAAGCCTACCACGCAGCCACGGTGATACGTCAAATGCAACGGCTGGCGCTCAACAGCGGCCAGCAACAGCAGGGTCCAGGATCAACAGGCCCCTCCAGCGACAACCCCACGCCATACCCCGATCAATCGCAATCCAACCCCAGTCACCAACCCAGATCAGTGGAGCCTCAAACCAATCTCAATTGAAGGAAACGGTTGACCCGCCATTACCCGTACCGAGCTCGTTGGCCTCGAATCCCCTCCCAATTCCTGTCGCTCCGAATTCACCGTTATACTTGCGCAACAAACGCTTCAAGCTGTGGGGTAGCACACGCACCGCTCTGTCTACTCTCTTTCAAACGAACGTGTCGTACCTTAGAAAGCAAAGGAAGCAAAAGAAAAGCTGAGTTACGCTAAATTTTCTCGTCTAAACGAACAAAATATTCAAGCCTTTTAACGGCGTTTTCCCTCTTGCCGCTATCATTTAATCTCGGGCAGGAGCTCGCATAGATTTCCAGCTAATCTGCTTTATTCGTGGTCTCCTGTGACACGGTTACCACTTATGTACATTACAGTCTATATAATAGCCCGCGCGATATAAGGCGATTTTCCGAGTCGTTTTCGTTCGTCGCCTCTCCTATTCGGTTCTCACTGGCTCTGTCGGAACAGTTTACAAATAGATCTACGTTGTGCCGGTACATATTAACAATAGATATCGAATTCGTAGCTATCAATAGAATTTTATGACGATATGTTAATGGTGTTTGATTTGATCGAGTAAGACGCGTAGTTACGTATACAGATTAAACTCAGCGGTTTATGAAATTTCACGACACGACGTTAAGGAATCTTGCTGGATCAAATCTTAAGTAAACGTGTAAAAACTAACGTGAACAGTACAACGACAAGTTTTTATCTTTTATAAAGTCTGGAGTAATACGAATAGTGGTTGTCTAGAAGATTTTTTGCGACCGTAAAAGTCTTGTATCGTGACAAATATGTTTTTAATTTCGTAAATGAACGTTTCGCGTTTGGAGCAGCGCTGGGACTTGTACGATACGTATCGATGGTATTCAAGCGATACGATACCAAAGTACTTAATAGGAAGGTTTTTAGATACCGATTCATTTCAGTTACTCGCGATTAAGTTCCGATACCCATGTAACGATTCAGTTCATATGGTGTAAGTATCGAATACCAAGTACATAGGTATCAAAACGGTTCCAAGTAACGATACTTGTTCGTCTGGTATCAAAGATGGGTAAAATTCGTAAAACATCTTTCCGAAAGATCTCGATAAATCGCAAATCATTGTGTTTTATTTGTCATCTATTATTCAACTAAAATTTTGCCCATTTCTGTTTGGTGTCGATAGTATCGATAGTCCCAGCGCTACTTGAACGGAGCAACGGCGAATAACATCTTTTTGATTAACCAATTTGGAGAAGTACGAAAAAATAAACTTAAGGTTTTTTTGGTAATACGGTTCATTACCGTACGGAATCGTGTTGCGAGACTACGTAAGATCTGATTTCTGTAACTACTTATTTTTACGATTCGTTGAAAAGTTTAAAAGGGATATACTTGCTTCGATGACCTAATTAAACGCAAGTGTTTATAGGAAACCATGTACAGTGCACTGGATTACAAAATGTACATTGTGTACACAGCATACTCCTTCTGTTACATAGTGATATTAGTACATTTCTAAGAACTTTAAATCGGATCTATTAAACTAGATTTAATGTATGTACACGTACAAGTATATCGCTCTACTAATATTTTTATCGATACGTTGCACGGAAACTTCAAGGAAAGTGTACATAAAGCATACACGATTCCCCCGTATGTCTGTTTGCAAGATGCAAATATAAAAAGCGAATTATATAGCGCGAGGTTTCGGCTTTCGTCGAGATACCTTACGAGCAATTTCGCTCTGCATAAATTTCGAGCTTTCCTTTTCGACCTGTACTTTTCTTTTTAATCGATATGCAAAATTGGTATCTGTAAAAATAAATGTAAAGCACAAACTCGGCATCGAGCTAGTTACGAATTAATTAGCAATGCTCGAACTTATGTTGCAACAAAAAAATGTATATATTATTTATATACGTTTATATATTGCGAAAAACTTTATATAAATATTTTTATATTTAATATTTCTTTATAGAATACGACAACCACCGTATAAAGATATCGATAAGTTTCGAAAAGGTTGAGATATAATCTAGCTATTTATATTTGTATCTTATTACGATACGAAGAAATCCATTAAACGTACGCAGTACTCGGTATTTGAATTGTGAACAAATACTTCAACGAAAGGTTCAAGAATACTTTTAGTATACAGTGGTATTACTTTATTTTTTTATAAATGATTGCAATCAAGTGCAATAATACCATGATCTTGTGATAATGATGTTATTATGGTTACACTCAATAGTAAATCGATATTAATAATAACGATGAATGTTGGAAATTTCTATTGATATGATTCTATGATCTTAATTGGATTGTATACAAATTATTTCTTGCGGTGATCAGTTACAATGTTAAGGATCGTTTTACATACGTTCGGACGCTCTATTATGTACGTAGAGGTTAAAAACGAATTCGTTATGTATCAATGCGACAAGATTGTATTTTTTAAAAAAAAGTTTCCATGTTTTTCGTGTCCTTTGAAACGTGCTTTGAAATAAATCTAAATTATATTCAACAGAATTTAAAAGATCATGTGTTGCATACTCGTGTAGAAATGAATTATTGCTGTTTATCGAGCGGGCACTCTTTTTATCATAAAATCTACTATCTCTTTCTCTTTAACTTTTAACTATAAATATGATAATCATCTTTGAACTATCATATTAGACATCCGTCCGTGTACCGGGCACTATTCGTATAGTAAAAAATGAATATGAAAAGAACTTTATGGGATTCGTATAACGCTACGAAATAATTTTGAAATCGATAATAATTATATTAATTATAAGGTAGCTACTATAGTTATTCGAACAAATATAATATAAAATTTAGCGCGAGAAAATACGCATACGAATGGAAGTTCGAAATAAATCCGATGGTCGTCGTTTATTCCTGTCAAAATACTTTGGTATCAAAATTCATTCAACTTGAATTGACGAAAGGTCTTTCATTGCGCAGAACAAAGTATCATTCTAAAGTGCCTCGGATGACACGATGATGGTACATTAAAATTAGAAGATACAAAGGTATCGTACGTAAGAATTACATTGAAAATTGATCAAAGATATTCTATGTAAGAATTACATTGAATATTGATCAAAGGTATTCTACGTAAAAATTACATTGAATATTGATCAAAGGTATTCTACGTAAGAATTACATTGAATATTGAACAAAGATATTCTACGTAAGAATTACATTGCATATTGAACAAAGATATTCTACGTAAGAATTACATTGAATATTGAACAAAGATATTCTACGTAAGAATTACATTGAATATTGAACAAAGGTATTCTATGTAAGAATTATATAGAAAGTAACTCCATTTACGAATTTATTATGTTCATTCAATATTTGGTAATACTTTTCGATTACTTTCCATTATTCAGTATATAGAGTTTTCTTCCTATTATAAATAAAACAAAAATATTAAATTACATTTTTCACGGTGCCAACGTCGTGTCATCTAATAAGAATGGTTCTTAATTTTTTCATGCTGACATTCGTGCGTTATTGACTAGCTTGTAATTTAAAATTCTAAAAAAGGAAGTAAAAGGAGCTTAGCTTGTATTTAAAAGCAAAAAGAAATAAAAAAAAAAAATAAAAGACCGTGCCACGCGAATAAACATATCGGCAGGAACATTGCAAATGTGATGTAAAGATAAGCTGATTTTAAATAGCAATGAAAAATGACTCGTAATCGAGGAACAAAAAAAAAACAATATAAAACGCCAGACTGATAGAGTGTGTATGGAAGCGAAAGAGTAAGAGTGTGAAAGAGAGAGAACGAGGGAGGGAGTATGTACTGTTGACTAAAATACTTTAATTGTTGCCTATAAATTAAGCGTAACGCTCCTATATAATGTATATTTATTAAATGATGCAGGAACAACTTCTTCCTATTGTAATTTCCTCGTTGCATAAGCGTTGCAATTGTTATGCTTGAATTTTGTGCATGTGGGGGACAAAGTATTGGATGTCTTAATTATTAAATTATACATAATAACGGAGTCCGTCGGTGCTCCTAGAAATTAAATGACACAAGTTTCTCAAACCTACGCGAAGGATCTTAATAATCGGAATTACGATAATCTAGTTTACAGTGCCAATATATTCGTACCTATTAAAGAACCGGTTGCTGATCTCTTTTTTTGGTATTCGAAATATAAAACTTCTGTAAACTATATTCATTCGAGCAGCTAATTTCGGATTAGGTGTAAAATTCAGATTAGGTTGAATATACTGTGCTTGATAAGAGTAATCTGTTTCGTTTAGGAATTTGGCTCGTAATTATGGAAATTATAGGAACGGACCACGAAGTTTAATCATTCTTTTTTTGTTTTCAATTTCTCGATTGCGGTGCTATTTCATGGAATGTTGATAAATAAAAGGTATACAGAACTTAATTTTTCAATTTGTTACGTTAGCTCGGTTACTCTTTGTTACGTTGTAAAATAATGGAATTATTCCAACGGTCGTAGACTAAAGAGTAAGTGAAATAGTAATTACACTTTAATTTAATACAGATTTATTGGGAATTCCTTTTCAAAGACGAAAAGGAAGTTATATGAAATCGATGAAAATAATGATAACGATGATGATGATGATGATAATAATAATAACATTTACAAAATTGTATGTGTTTGTGCTTAAAATTAAACTACCATTTTATACAAATTATTTTAAATGCAATAACAATGATATGCCTTATTTGTAATTCGTTAACTGGCGATCTGTAGTTGAAATAGGAAATTTACAAAATCGTTACGCTTTATGTTAATGATTTTATCAATATACAGTGGCTGCCTTTGCGAAACATAGTATTACGAATCAACGACAAATGGATCGTGCGAGGTACTTAACATTTACTGTTTGTCATGTAAATCGGTTGATTAATTTGAGCACAAGATTAGTTTGGTTGAAAGAACGGTTTACATTACATTCTATAGAAACTAAAGTGTTACATAATTCTTTTTTTTCCCGTAACTATATATACATACATCTAATAGATTTATTTGCGTAACAATCGTATAGTTAAGCATATTTTTACTTGATTTATTACGTATATATAAACGATAAACATTTCTATCGTGTTGTAACCATTATTATAATAACGTGTAATAACGTAATCTGCAGATATGGTACTAACACAATTTAGATGTAATACACGAAGGTAAATAAGAATAACTGAAATTTCATGGTTATTATAGGATGTAATGTAAACTTTCACGCTGTATTATAGTTAATCTTTAGTTTTTAATGTGGATGTACTACGTGTAAAATTTAGCTTATATTTCAAGCACATATTAATATCACGCGAAAAGAAATGTACATGTATATAATTGTATCGTAGAAAAGAGTTAACGATCAAACTAACATTCGCAATGAAAAATACCTGTGCAAGAAAAAAAAAAGAAGGAATAAATTACAAAGTAGCCCTTTAAATTTTTAAAAGTAGCAGCCACGAAAAATTAACATTGATATTAACATGTAATATATTACTATGCATCATTAATAATATCGCTTAATTGATGTTGATTATCTGGTTTCTGAAAATTACACTTCACCTCTTCCAGTCCATTTTAATACCATTCTTTCCTGTTTGCTCAGTCGCTTTGATAATACCGGATTGTACAACTGTAATGTACATTGAAAAAATACTATAAATAGAAAATATATTTTCATATCTTTATATACGTGTGATTTTTGGTACATCTGAAAAAGAAAAAAAGAAACAAAACTATTGGCCCCTTCTCTAATTCAATTCACGTGATTCTTCTGCATTTGCTTATCGATAATTAAACATATATTCGACGATCACTTGTACTCGAATCGCAAAATTAGATTCTCTCGATTATAGAAATTCGCGCGTAGTGTATAGCTCATAAAAATTCGTACATTTCGGACTAAATATCCTCTATATTGTGGATTATATAAACCGATAATCGCGTGCAAAGCCTTCTACGATTATTATCCTTCGGTTTCAATCTTCGTACGAGTTTAACGCTTCTCGTAATTTGTCCACGATCTTCTGATAAAATGTAATTTGCTCCGCAAGGTGGTTTTTCATAGCTTGAGTTATATGGACCTCTTGTTCTCTCTGAAAGTGCGTTTCCTCGGCAAGAAGGGCTCGCGCTATCACGTCCGTTCGTTGAGAAAGCTCTCGCATTTGCTGTGGCTCCATTTTGTGCTCGCTTACTAGCCTCTCGCAATCTCTGCGTTTCTGTACAGCAGTCTAAATACGAAAAAAAAAAAAACAATGTTTATACCAAGAACAGCTTCGTACAATTTTTGCTATCGTGGTGTCCCTGAAAATATTGCGCACAGTTCTGATTATTTTTAAATAGTTCATCAAAATTAAATATTAGGTTGTCCCAAAAGTTTCTTTCGCTTTATTAATAAGTAATACCAGCACAATAGTTTATGTTTTATGTTACATTACTGAATTGTGCACGATTCATTTTGCTCCATTACTGTTACAACATGAATATCTATGAAATTAGATTGTCTATTTATATAAACACGACCACATCAAATAATTGAGTGCAACTCGCGAAAGAAACTTTCGGGACAACCTAATACATACATATACATCATATATACATCTTCTATTTGCTCGCGTTATTCGTACTTCAGTACTTGAAAATATACAAACAATAACATGAAATAATACGCAACCCTGACATTGAGTAATGATTCACGCCGAATGACGCACTTTCGAGACAATTAAACAATTGTGATATCATCGTACGTGGGTATCCCTGATATTGAATTTATATCGTATAATGAGATCGTTTGCAAAACGGTGAATGTTGTAGATCGTTCTATGAAACTAGTTTCGTTATCGATTGATAAATGAAAAGTTCGTGATACACAATATTCGCCAGGCTATCGTACTAATATTTATTCCAAATTAAACTTTTCGATTACCTTATGTATACTGATAACATCTGGGAAATTGCTGATAATTCCTCTATAAATATGGAACTTATCAGCAAGAGGTTCCCAATCGAACTTGGGCTGTTCCTCGTATAATTTTCCTATGTCGTTGTAAGCGTCGCCGGTTATTTTCAGCGCGTAAGTCAATCCTCCCCGACTTTTATCGTCGCCTTCCAAAGCGTGGCTCAACGAGATGAACGATTGACCAATTTTTTGAAATTCTCTCTTGTACAAGACTTGGTTTTTCTTCGTTTGGTCCACAGCCATGGCCATGAAGTTCTTGACTACCGGATCCAGCCCACTTATGAATCTACTGTAAGCGTCTATTTGAATCTCCACTTTGATAGCATCCAAAGGAATATCGGGACACTGTACGGCATTGAAATAATTTACACCTAGCAATTCGTCCTTCTCGGCTAGCCTTTTCCCGGCTTTCCACCTCTTCTCGTCCGTACACGTCATGAAATGTTCCCAGACACGACTGCGCGCCAACACAGGATGCCTACAAACGTAATCAACGAACTCCTGCAGCTGTGTACGTCGGTGTTCGATAAACTGCTCCTCGTATCTTCCCGCTATTTGTTTATCTGGCAACGGAGGTATAGGAATGAAACAATATTTCTCTTCCAGACGTTCGTGCAGCCAATCGAAGTGCTTGTATCTCCTCGAAACTTGAATGTTGTTAAACTGCATCACAGAATTAACGATAATATCGTATCTTGGAATTACGAGAAGGGATTATAAGCAGACCGTGAATCTTTATGCAAACTTAAACTCGAATAAGAATTTATTTTACTATAGAAGTATCATAATATGAACTTTACGTTCGATATTTTTGTGTAAACGCATAAAAATCTGTAGTCTACTTATAAGAAAATAAAGGGAAGAATTGTTTTAAATACCGTAGGCGTGAGTTGATAAACTATAAAACTTTTAAGTCCCTTAAGTTTAGACTCCTTTTTGGGAGACGTGATTATACACTTGTAAGGATCTCCTCTGTAAACCCATCTACAACGTCTTCCATCGAATTCTTCGATATACACTTTCTCGCTTTCGGGAACATTCGTTATTCTCGTCCCTAATAAATAACTATCCTCTCCAGACTTTATCAACGTAGAAAATTTATTGTTCTTCTTTGGTATATTCGGTATAGGCCTTTCGGGTATCACAGAATGGATAGCTTGCATGGAAACTGAATCCCCGTAGTCGGTGGTACTGTGTTGTTGCGTTAATTGTATCATATGCTGTTGTTGAGGAGGAACGTACGCCTGGGTTTGACTAACTTCGGAGTCGTCGTCCCAATCGTCGTCCCAGTAGTCTCCAGAGCTCTGCTGGGACGACGTCATGGCATCTGGTACGTGGGAAAAAAGATACGATTAATAGAAGTCCTAATTTATTTACTTCCTCTACTTGCCGAAACCCATTTCTAATATTAAATTTAAGGAAATGAATGAGACTTGTTGCATAGATGCAGATAAAATATATACTAGTAATCATTAAGTAAGCAAAGCTTTAAAGGAACCGCGTTACGTATGATAAATACTTGAAACGGATGCCTCGTTGGTAACAGCCTTAACGTAAGCCGCTGGAAACAGCCCAGACTTTCCATCCTGATTGACACCTTCGTACCATCCGTCACCCACGTTATCTCTCATGACAGTCAAGACTTCTCCTGCTTTAATAGACAATTCAGCTGTGCCTGACTCCCCTGTGAAGTCGTACAACGCCCATACCTAAAGCAAAAACAACAAACCATTAGATCACAGAATTTCTACAATATTAATTCCTAACAAAACACAAAGAGATTATTTTCGACTGATGGACGTAAATGAATGAGTCACAAATCTAGTGTTGACGAAACGTAGTGATCATCGATCGCTTTTGTTTCGTTGGTTTTTTACGTACCTGGTGGCCCTCCATTGTAAGTACATGCACTAACTGTTTATTTGAAAAACCAGGCGCTGGTACGACAACTTTTCGTCGCTTCTGTTTCAAATTGCTTGATTGCGCCCGGTTACATACCTACATCGATACGCTCAGCCGTACGACTGACATTTACGTATTCGCGAGCCGACGTGTGTGCGATAGTATGCCACATAAATGGAAATTTTAAACGACTGTACTACCACTACTGTCCAACGAACGTAACACGCTTTCATGACTCCAGAAAACCGTGCTTCCTACACGTGAACCATGTCGGCGCAACAAGTCGGAAGAAAATTTTCTTCGGTGCTCGTAACAAACTAGTAAAATATTTCCATCGAATGGAATTCGAGGCAGTTTTTCGGTTGGAGGTTAGATAGGAAGCGCCGGGGCACGGAAAATTACGGATCCGTTACTGAAATTCGGATCCGCCTCTGCGAATTAATTCGCGTCGAACGTTCAACTTTTCACACGGAGTGTACTTTAACTTCGGAGTGGGGCCGAGGATTATTCGAATCTTTGACTATCACATCTTGTCAGATATTTGACTAGCAAGATGCTCCAATACCTTGATACTCGAGTATTAAGATGTTTGAATACCTTGATATTCCAGTATTTAAATTTGTAATGTTTATTTGACTACTACATCTTACAAGTAATCAAATAAATTTCGAATGCTTTTTGTATTTATATTTGTAACTTTTACGTGACTATCATATCTTGTAAATATTCAAATAAATTTCGGATATTCGAGCATTTAAATGTCACCACTCCAGCATTATTATTTCCCTATAATTAGCTAAAAAGAAAGGAATAAGTCTTTGTACAACTGTAAATGTATATACACTTACTGTTTACTTACTTTGTAAATGTGTAAAGCAAATAGAGTAAAAAGGAAGTCTTTTAACTTATACATAGATAGTTTCACAAAGTTTTATTACCTTTAATGTCATTTTTTCATTTTTAATATTATACAAATGGATAAATTATGAATACAATTCTTAATGTGAAGATTTTGACTCTTTCGCATTTTGAAGACTTTGAGTGATATATAATTTTGCTAAACTCTGAGCACAGAATTGCGAAATGTGCTCGCTGTACGTATTAATTTGGCCAGCTACGATCATTGGATTCAGTCTTGGTGGAACAGGCAAGGGTCTCATGAGTTTATTGATATCGTCATCTGGCAGTGGAGGCTCGTCTTTGGCGGCCCTGGCAGCATTTTCTTGGGCCCTTTTAGCTAAAAGTCTGTTCTTCTCTTGTTGTTGGCGAACGACTAACTGTTGATACCTGTTGAACTTCATAGCTTCCTGATTCAATTCGTCCACGCGATCCATTAAGCAACGTAATTGGTTCTCCAAAACAGTGGCTGTTCCAAGGTCTAAGTATTTTGTACCTTCCTCTTCAGGAATCATTTCTTCCAATTCGGACATCATTATATTAGTCAAATTACTGTTTTTTATTACAACTGGTATTTCAATGAAGAGGCTCTCGTAACCGATCTTCAAAGTACGTAAAGCTTCTGGAGTGAATTCTCCTTCCTTGTACATTTGTATAGCTTGCGGAGTGAGTCTGTATGCCTTTAACGTCAGAAAACCTCTGGCTGACTTAGCCGTGTCGTATATAAGCACAACCGATTCCTCGATGGAGGTTTGATAGTGATACTGGGATTCCAAAAGCGACAAATTTAAGAAGTTTCCAACGTCTGCACTCTGGTACCACCCGACGTGGAAGTGATCTACGTTGACCCTGTAAAAACACCGTATTATATTTAGTATCGCAGAAATACCAAAAAGAATATGAGAACCATTGCTTTAGAATATTTACCATCTAAGACGACGCATCATGGCCAGTTGATATTCCTCTTCGTCCATGATCTCGTCGTTCTTAGGAAAAGGGAAGCAATTCGTGATTTCGAGGCGGTTTTGAACAACCAAACCGAGAAGGGCGCCTTGGGCAACATCCATGTTGCTCATAGACTCTTCGTGACAATGTTTCACCATTTTCATAACCACTAGCCCATCGCACTGTACGTAATCTATACGCGGTTCCGATTCGGGAATTCTTCTTGTCTGCGTTCTCGAATTCATCTTCGAATGAATATTAATTTCAATTTAAAGTAATTTCCGAGCATATGCTCTCGAATAGTTTCCTGTCAGCGAGGTTAGGAATCGGTTAGGATCGAGAACAGATCGAGAAGGACTTCAGCCCCTCCACTTCCAAGCAAATATGGCGGCCGCTGTCTGCGAGCAGCCAATCACCGAGCAGCGCTACCTTCGACCATATGGTACTACAGGGTGTCCCAAAAATGTTGTAACATATTGAAAGGGGTGGTTCGGGAGGTGATTTGAAACAACTTTTTCCTTAGCGAAAATGTTGTCTGAGGCTTCGTTAGGAAGATATTAACAAAAAACCCCGACCAATCAGAGCGCGAGTATGCCGGTGGAGCGCCCGCGGTAGCCAATGAGCACAGGCGCCTAGCGCGTAGCCTACGCTCAATCGACATACTCGCGCTTTGATTGGTCGGGGTTTTCGCTTAGTATCTCCTTAATGAAACTCGGACAACATTTTCGCTGAGGAAAAATTTATTTCAAATCACCTCCCGAATCACCCCTTTCAAGGTGTTACAACATTTTTTGAACACCCTGTATATGGTCGAAGAGTGCTACTCACCCCCTCCACTCCCAAAGAAATATGGCGACCGCTGTGCAGCCAATCACCGAGCAGCACTATCATTTTCTTTCTTTGTTCGATTCAAATGCGTAGTTGACAAATTCAATTGTAATATTGTTAAATAAATCATGTTTTACATAAAAATGTTTCACATTGTCCGTAACATTCCATTGTTTTACAGAACTCATTAATTTAGAGCTTCTGGGGTCTTTAACATTAATCCTTTATATTTATATTATCCAATCCTAATCTGCGATTTTGGACCTTTTTGTATGGCGCCTTATTCTTTTACAATAATATTTCTATCGTTATTGTCGATATAAAATAGTCCATTTAGTACTATGTAAGGTAGAAAGAACTATTTTCTCTAGAAATATGGGCCTTTTTCCACCGATGGTACCGATTGGTACTCCTTTTATAACATAATTCTTTGTACACAACGATCCTTTTTTTGTTTTAAATGGAATATGTATTTGTTTACATACTCATCTTCTCGAATGCATTCATTCGTACCAAACATGTACGATGAATAAAATGTACATTTTATTACAATTTTGTTGTTGGAAGAGAAACATACTAATATAAATCTATCATTCCTATCCTATCGTTTTGTCCCATATTATGTAAAATAATGGACACGGCGTGGGCGTTGATTGAATATGGAATATGATATTAAAAAGCCTAGATTCCCGTGATCCGTTATAATTTTATCATCCATTCCATTCGAGTCGAATAAAAATTCTTTGTATCGCGTATTCGAATGTGTTATATATCATTCGAAGACTGGGTATCTTAAATCTAAATACATTCGAACGAAACTTTATTAACATTCGTCGATTTTTACACACCAAGAGAGTTTGTAATTCGTAATTTTAATACGTGCAATGTTTTTGATTGCAACGTATCGCATGTAACAGTTAAATATAATAAATAAAGTGATAGGTAAATATACCACGGATAATCACGCATTATCTCTTTAATAAATTTGTAAGTTCGCAATCTCAGAACAGTATTCCACAGTATTCGTCAATTCATTGTAACGTGTCATCAAATATGCCATATAAGTAGTTACAGATGTTTTAAACGAGATGTTGCAATAATAGACAAATATAACCTACAATCTAATGTCATCTATTGTCGCAGTTCGTTGCTTAAGCATGTTTTACATAATACAAGTACAAAAAACATTTGTTGTAACAAAAGATTTATAAACGTATATACTACGGCAGAACTTTTTGTATACAAATTTTTTCATGTTATAGATTAAAACAAGCCGACTGTACCATGTCGCAGTTGGATTTAGATCCTCAATTTATGCAAGGTTTGCACCTTTTACATTCCACTAATAAAGACTCTGCGGAACAGCTACGTGTGCTCCTAGACGAAGCCATCAAGCAAAAATATGGACCGTCTAAAATGTTATCGAACGTATTACATAAAAAGGTAATCGAATAACATCGAGTTAAATTCAAAGCAGTACACAGGGTTACCAAGAAGAGAATGTAATCGATTTATATTGATTAAAAATATTGTACTTACAGAGTTAGTTCTGATATCAGGACACTTACGAAGCATAGAAGATTTTGTTCACGTAAAAAGATATCTGATACTTGTTTCCTCTGTATGCAAAGTTGTTGTCGTATAATTTCGAAAATTTGATTCCTCGAATGTTCTGTATTACAGTATATGATGGAGGAACCGGTGCTGAGCGATCACAGCAGCAGCAGCAGTGGTAAAAAGAGCAAAAGCTCCGGATCTTCTTCCAAACATTCGAGCAAGTCGAGTAAAAACAGTTCCCCTGTGAATCTACCGACGCGCGACACGCCGCCTGATGTTATACAGACTGATAACACGTTAGCATTAGAAATATTGGAGGATGACCTGACGTGCGTTATTTGCAAAGGAATGGACGTTGGCGCGAGGAACAGACTGGTAGAATGTTCGGAGTGCCATTCTTTGTACCATCAGGAATGTCACGTTCCGCATATTTTAGATTCTCAAATAGATGTTCCAGGATTGGTCTGGTATTGCTCGAATTGTTCAAAGTCTCAGGTGTGTGTATTCACTCGCATTATAAATTATTCTCCTTGTTTTCATTAAGGAATCTTGTGGAAATGAAAGTTACGTTGCAGTGAAATGCAGTCACTGTAAAGTACTTTTAATTTACAGGTCTCTAAAGAGAGGAGTTCACCAAAAACAGTGATAGAAAGCAAATCCAAGGAACCAAAGAAATCTAACGCGAGTGAGTTCGATGTTAACGTTGAACATTATCAAAAGTTTCCTAAGAAAAAGTAGATTTTACTTGTGAGCTTCCGTAGGAGCAGATCGCATACATATTTGTTCTTATTTATTTCAATAGGTGGCGGAAACAAAGTTACACCAAATATTCATATTATAAGCGCAGACAGAAGGTTAAAGGATATGATGAAGAAAGCAAAACAGGACAAACGAAGTACAAGTACTGCTCCGAGTTCAAAAAATTCTTCGTCCAGTACAACAACGTTGTCTTCGACAAAATCTCAGGAGAAATCGCTACTGTACAAGATCAAGTCAGGCGTGGAATAAAATTCTCGGCTATACGAATATTTTGACAATATTTTACGGTATAGAGGGAACTTGAACAAATTATATAATACCAATTTTACGAGAGGATTACGCGTGGAGCGATTAATTAATTAAAGAAACAGCCGTAATTACGATTAACGAGTCGATGAAATTTAGATGGATAATATCAGTTTTATATCGAGCTACGCGCAGAATCTATGTTCCAGATTGTACCAGATTGTACGCGAAACTTACAAATTTTACCTTTTACATTGTTTTAATCGAATTTATTACGAAATATGCACGGAATGATCGCCTGAATGTAATTTGTTATCGTAACTTTTAGCTGAAAAAATATAATTTTTTGTACGAAAAGGAGTCGTTCCTTTAACTTCGGCCAGAAGTAGAATCGCGCGAAAGAAAGTTTTCGGGTATTACAAGAAGAGGTGCCACGACCGTGAGGATTCATTTATAATACCAATATATTTTTGCAATTTTCCAAATGCTTATTTGTTTGTCCCTACGTCCCATTGAAAATTTGGCAAGAGTCATTTCGTTCTCGAGTGTTACTTAAAACCTACTTATATGCGAGATGGGGGGTTGAACACTATTTACAGAGGACCTTTTTCAGGGGTTGCATTTCGCGCACGTACACACATCTAGAGACTCGCATTCATACGGCACACGTAAAGCGGTATCGCACACAATTTGCATTCGTTGGCCGAAGATATACGGTGACCTAATTAACACGAGTATAATGTAACGAGTATAAATGTAAGAAATAGGAGAGTTTTATGCGCGAAGAGGGCTTTCAGTATCTAATCAATCTAATGAATGTAAATTGAACGCGAGGGAAATTTACAATAAATTGTAATGAAATATAGTTCCCAAAAATGTACAAATTTTTGTTAAAAATATCGTAAAATATTGTAAGCTATTGTAAGTTCACCGTAGCTCTTCGGCAGACTGTACGTACACATTGTAGGCTACATAACGAGGAAAAGACGCGCTCGAGATTCGTGGCAACGAAAACGTCCACGTTTAGCATAAATTCTCATGCACGCGGTGTTCCCGCGACGACGGATACGCTTCGAGTCTATTCTTTCAGGGAACGGAATCATCCCCCCCATCGTTTTCCGAAGCTTAACAAAGAATAATTTTAATTCGACACGACGTTCGGATTTCGTCTATACTACGAAGCATGACATACTAATTCGACTCGTAAACCGCTGAAACATTCCTCGATTTAATTACGATACGGTACATACGTTTAATGCGGAATTGACAAGCTTTTCAGATGGATGGAGTAAACTGTCGTGCGTGATACGAAATAACGAGAAATTACGCCGAGTTAATCGATTCGTCTCTACGGAATTTAACCGGTTGCGGTCGTACGTCGGGCAGGCCCCGACGAAACAGGGCGAATTTGTTGACTTTATGAATTCTCGAGTCTCAGATATACGGAACGATTCGTCGAAGATCGAAGCAATATGTTGTTATTTACGTGATGTATCAGAACGTGACCTTGAAGTGACCTTGAAGTGACCTCAGCCCGAAGGACGTCGAGTACAATATAAAATTTGAGATCACCTCGACGTTTCAAGGTTTCCTTGACAATTTCGAAGATACAAGATTCACAAGAAATTTAGTTTAACTCAAATATCGCTCTACAGATTCGAATTTCTGAAATCATCAAATTCTCCGATCGACGAATCGTTCCATGTTATAATCTCTGGTTTACAATAAGAAATTGCAAGCACTTTTTCCTTAAATGTCGTCATATTTTCGTCTCTCCTACGATACGCAGGCATTTCACACGAAGTCTGTACAGAGTTGTACATTTAAGGAAAAACGTCGGCAGAGTTTCGTCGAGAATCGTATTCGTCACGCGTTGTGACGAACCTTTCGTACTTTCTATTCCCGGTACAAGATTCCGCGCGAATCTTCCGAAACGAACGATCGTCAAAGATGTACCACACAATTGTCGGGCGTCCTTTCGAGTTCCGATAACAGCGACGAGATGTATAATGCGAATATGTGCGCACGTATGCGAGCGTACGTCAATCTGCGCTATGCGCGATTATTGTTAAATCAAAGACATTCGTTGCGCCCTCGAGAGAACCGTTCCTTACATTGTGGACGTTACATGGTTTTCACGTTTGTGTCTCGTGCCTCGACAACGTATCGCTGTCGCTAATTATCGCTTTAGCTAGGAATGAAAATTGTTTTCCTTTAAGTTTATAAAAAAATACAAGTCAGAGAATTTTACAATTCCAGGAGCTTCGTTTTCACGTATCTATTATATTTAGTATTCGCTTCGGTCGAACGTGTATTTAGAGAGATACCTACGAAAGGTTAAATATTCTTCGAACGAGTTTCGCTGATACAAAAATATCGAGCAACAATATAAAAAAAAAAAAAAAAAAAAAAAAAAAAAAAAAAAAAAAAAAAAAAAAGAGAAGAAAACAGAGCGTTTCGGATCGCATACGTATCTCTACCTATAAAAAAGTATCATCCACAATCTAAGGGATAGTATGTATCTGAATATACACGCGCGTACACTTTCAGCGATTAATTTAATACAAGTTTCAAGTATAATTAGAAAATGCGTACTCGTAACTCAATATTAAGCTCCTTACGAATAACACAGGGCGGCGATTGTTTAAACATTTCGTACCGTGAATTGTTCGTTAAATTTCACACGTTTCCTTAACCTACGGTTTCGTGAGCGACACGGCGTGACAGTAACTTAATGATGGAATTTAAAAAAAAAGAAAAAAAAAAAAAAAGATGTCTTTAATTTACAACTAAATTGTGTATACACGATACATAATTTGCACGATACTTTCGTTTAACATAAATATTTGCGCCGCAAGATCCGCGATATCGTAACTACGATATCGTACCGATAAAAATCTGTTTACAAATATTACCGTTGCAATTTCGCTCAAGCTACGTCCAATGTAGGAAGACGAATAAACCGCGAGAACATTCTATTTTACAAATTTATTAAAAGAGAAAGAAAACTGTATCGTTTGCGCGAACAATTTGTTCAAATATTTGGAAAGACATGTATTTTGCTCGATTTTCTAAAATTTCTATATAGTCGGTATGTATTGTAGTCTACACATAAAGTCGAAGAAGAATATACTCGATGCATTTGTAAATATAATCACTGTTTTCATCGTTACTTTTATACATTCATTTCTTACACAAGAGCGCGCACCTCGTTTGCCCTTTCTTTCGAACGTGGTCGCGTTAGACGTAATGTTCTTATCCGAAGAGTCGTTAACAATTTCGAGCAGGCAGCATATTCATTTTTATTTTATTCGAGATGGTGTCAAGTGTAGCGTTACTTCTTTTTCTGCAATGAAAACAAGAAAAAGAAAAAGAAGTCTGCCTTGTATTATACATTAAGTAATCCGACTCGCTCGAAGATACGTTTACGCTTTTCGAATAATATAAAACAAAGTACGTTCAACAAATAAGAATACTCGGCAAAATAATCCCCCGTTACTTACAATACGCGTACTTTTTTTAAATTCAATATACAAGAGAGTCGCTTTTAATTCCTTACGAGTACCTTGAATACATATAAAAAAAAACAAACTGCGTGTTCTAGGCGTATCGTAAAAATGATAACAGAATGAATATATAAATAATCAAAGATTCATCGGGTGCCTAGGCTCGTTCGTTCTGTTATCATTCGTTATCTAATTATTCGCAACTAACATTTTTTTTCTTTTTTTCCATGAAATGCACACTGGAAACATATAGCGTATACAAAAATTAAATTATTACATGGCTTCGAGGTTCGTAATGCTTATAAGTTTCTCCGGAGTGTCTTGTAACATACGTGTTCCGTACGACTGAGAAACTTAAATGCAAAATAAAAGCAGCGGAATCTAACGTCTCGAGAAAATTGCAGCTGCTGCACGTACAAAAAAAAAAAAAGATAAAGAAATAAAGTACAAAGAGAAGTGTAGAAACATACGCACAGTCTTGATACTCAAGATACATACATACGTATGAACAAAAAAAATATATATATATATGTGTGTAATATGCTAAATCACATAGGACAGATTGACGTACAATTTCCCGTAAAGTTAATTTGTTCGTCGTAATATAAATAAATACAATACATATAATAGAGAGATACATAGGTTTAGTGGTCACGACAGAGGAAACCTGGGGCCCTGTAGAGTAGTCGAAATACAAGAGAGCGTTAATTAAGTACAAGAGTGAGCGTGACCCCAGACTTCCCAGACCTACGAATCGTCAAACGATCGGTTTCGTTTGTGGCTCGTTCGAACGTCGAATAGGTCTGTTTGTATAAGCGCATGGAGAAACTTGGCAGTGCGCGATGGGCAGTGAATTCAATGGTTGAAAACGCTTATATTTTCGCTCGGAACGATAACGTATCGACGGGACGTCTCCTTGAAATGCAAACACTGAAAATCAGGCAGTCTTACGTAAACTAAACCGGAGCTGTAATCCGAAGAAAATACTGTTCGTCGTTGTGTTTCGTTAAGTTTTCTTTTTTCTTTCTTTCTTTTTTTTTTTCGATGCGTTCGATTTGCGACGATCGACCGAATCGCAGAGAAACGGTACAACCAGACCGGACGCCGAGATTTTCATTTTCTCGAAATGAAAGAGAATCGAAAGAGTCTAGAAATGTTCTCCGTGTAATGCAAAAAGATCTGTTTCCCGCTTTCGCATCTATTACACATGTTTCGCACTTAACGATATACGACAATAACCACTGCCGAATCGATAATCGTACCTATATAGATAATAATACAACTTATCGATAATAAGAGCAATAATAAGTATAATATAATTCGTAAAATAGTCGTAAAAGTCGTTATATGATCCACATAGTGGCCTCGGAAATCATAGAGCAACGGTCGTACTTATACGTGTAATTGCGTAAAGCGAATAGAAATAGACTAAAAAAGAAAAAAAAAAGAAAAAGAAAAAGGACAAACGTACTGAATCGGTAATTTGTTTCTTTCTTTTTCTTTTTGTTTTACGTACCGAACATACGTAGATAGGCCTAGAGTAGTCCGAACTGCTCTCGTAATTCTTAATTCCTCAATTCTTTCCTTTGTTTAACGTTACTTTAATTGCCTTAATTTAATATTATCTCTTATTCTCTCTGAAAGGGTTCTTTCACCCCAACTTATAATACATATATAGACCCTCTCTAACTAGCTCACTACAATCCGTGGAGGTGTATGTTGCGTGATCTTTGCTTTATATATATTTTTTATGTATATATATATATAATATATAACATATTAATAATTATATATCGTAATGAAGATAGTAGGCATAGCCACTCGTGCTCGGATCACAGACTACTCGCTGCCGTACGCTTTCGTACAAACAGTCTGGTGGACACTATGGCTTTCTCACTTACTTTTATGCACGTTATCTTTCCTCTTTTTTTTTCTTCTTTTTTTTTACGTTATGTATGTGTTCCGTATTTACGTATACACGTAGAGACATTCGGCCAACAAAAAATCGAATTCACTTTATCGTTTCTCTTTTACATTTTAAATAATAAGAAGTAAGAAGAATTTGCATTCTCGAATCCTTAAACGTGCACGCGATAAATACTTGGCTAAAGGAAACACGATTCCTTCGATTTTCCAAGAAACAATCAAGTATTCTCTTCCTTTCGTCGCTTCTTTGCAATTCAATACAAATATATATATATATACTAAAATAAACGAATATTATGAATACTAATAAAAAGAGATTCAGGTTTAAGGGTTAGAGTCGCGTCTATTTTCTGTTCGCTGATATCTGTACGTGTGCACGAGCGTATTTCGATACGGCCATGACATAGAGACGCAAAAACGCTACACCAGGACTGATTGATCCTGTAAAACTATCGCCTGACTAGCCTTAACGAAATCGCGCGTATTTACGGCATTGTTATTCACATGGTGTGTAGATTTGTACATATGTAACGAGGTGTATCTGATGCATGAAGTGGAGGCACTAGTCAGTGTTTCTGGAGAGATTGACGGGTCCTGGGATGGCGACGAGGAGGTTGTGTCAGCAGGCACTGGTTTCTTCGCCCTCGAGCGTGCACGCTACGTTTTCTAGCCTGTGGGCTAGGTGTAATTTGCGACAGCCCGCGTCTGTCTCCAAGGCCTCGAGAATCTGCGAACACGTGCATACATTTAATCCCTGAACAGATCCTGAAAAGATGCTCAAAAGATGGTCAAAAGATAGTCAAAGGATTCTCAAAAGATGGTGAAAAGATTCTAAAATTATGATTCGCTTACAGGAATAATGATTACATTGAACAGATTACGTCGGCCGAGCCAGGGTTTCTGTTTCAATACTTTCAATGTTACTTACTTGTTCGTAATACTTGCTGACGTAGATGTAAAGTTCCTTGAGTGCCGCGATCACGTCGAACTCGTTCGCGTGCGACGCACTCAACTGTTGCATGGCGCTAGACATTTCCTGGTCGGTGATTTGCGGCAGTCTCTGTACATCCGTGTAAAAGCGACCGACTTTCTCTCGATAGTGGGGTATGTCTTTAGCGAAGAGCAACTTGTTGGAGGGCGAGTCCTTTCCCAGCCTGTGCTCCGTCATCGAGCAAGAGTCCATGAACGTTTGCGCGATCACGGAGAGGCTCGAGTCGACCGTCGTTGATTTGTTGATATCGAACATGAAGTCTGGATTTTTGATAAAGTTCACCCAGAATCTGAGCGGCAGGCTGTTCGATTTCCACGCGTGAGCCACTTCGGGGTCGACGATCCCGTGTTGCTTGGCGGCGTCGTCCAGGAGGTCGAACAGCCACTTGACGGCGCTGGGTAGCGCCTCGTTCGCCGTCAGTATCGTGTTCAAGAAGTCGTCGACGAATTTCTGAACGGTGCCCTTCGTCGACAGCAGTCTCGTTAAAAATATCTCGGGTATGGCTTTGTGCGTTCGTTCCGGGTGGTGGTGTTTGCTGCCGGTGAAACCCATACCGGGCGGGTAGTGGCTCTCTTCTATAGGCCTTACTAAATGATATAACCGTTGGTTGCCGCCGTGGCCGCTCTCAACGTCGCCGTTGGCCGTTATGATCGGCGGCGAGTGTTGCGACTCGAAATACAAACCGCTTACGGGGTGATTGTACATTACAGGACTGATTAAATTGTGATTGGGGGTGGATGGAAGATGCGTGGACGAACAATGATTCGCGTGCCGATGGAGGTGATGGTGGTGGGAGTGATGGTGAAGCGGCTGCTGTTGATGATGATAATGCGACGGTTTGCAGTTGTGACAGGGCGGCTTGCACGCCACGGAGAAACCGTCGTTCTGTCTAGGGATCAACGACATCACCGCGGACTCCTTCACGCCGTAGTGCGCCAACGTGTTTATCTTCTTCCATTCCCCGCTGCACTTGGTGGTGAGATCCTCGTCCTGTAGCGTCAAGTGACCGCCTCTGCCGTGCCTCCATTCCAGATCTACGTCGTGAACGGACGGCCTCAGCGAGAAAGGAGTATTCTTGTAGAGGGAGTCCAGGATCTTCGACTTTACTTGATTTATAGTGTCGCAGTCCAACACCTTGCACTGTATCTTCTCGTCGAGATCGTCCTGGACGACGTGTAAGGTGACGACGCTGTGCTCGATCTGCTCTCTCAGCAGCCTCTCCTCGGACAGCGAGTATCTCGCGTCGTGCGTGATCACGTCCACGGGGCCCTTTTCTATCTGGTGCTTGATCGCCTTGAACAGTAAAAATAGAGAGGAACCGGCGTAGTCTTTTAAGTAATTGTACATGCACAGCGCCATCCAATTGGTAAGCATCTTCTCCACCACGGACTCCGTCCTCCTCAGCATCAGCTGCGGGTGCTTCGTGTTCACCGCTTTCTCGATCAGTCTAAGCAAAAGATTCATGAGTATGTCGGTAGCGTACTCCATCTTGCCCATCAGAACCACCATCAACAGCGACGCGACGTTCACTTTGTCCCTGATGTTGAAGTCTTTCTGAGCCTCCAGGGTCTCGATGAACGTCAACACGAAATATTTGTTATTGATCAGCTGCTCGAACTGGATCATGGCCGCGTCGTAGTTGGTGCGAGAGACGTTGCTGCGCGACCTAGGGTCGTTTAATATCGGATGATGGGTAACACCGGGAAAGAATACTTTCATGATGTAGTTCTTGTGATCGAGGGTGGGAATACCGGAAGACTCCAGGTCCGCCGTCAGGTCCGTCATGTCGGTTTGAAGTTCAGCGAACGCTTGTTTGCATTCCATCCTGACGTTGCTCTCGAGCGTGTCCATCTGTATCTGGATACGTTTGTACTCCCTCTCGGCTTGCGTGCTCTTTCTCCTATAAATAACTAATACCAAAACAAACAAAAGCACGAGACCGAACGTGCCAGCGGCGATACCGCCGATCGCTTCCGGTGGGATCGGATAAGACTTGATCACCTCGTAACGCAGGTAGCCGATCGGAAACCGGAGGCTCCTGCCCACCCGCACCACGACCAAAGGCAATCCGTTCTCCGTTTTGATCCCGAGCTCATCCGTGTCGGCGGGCTGTTGCTCGGGAGGGATGCACACCAGCTGGGTGGAAGCTAGAGAAGTGACGTTGCAAGGCATCGAGCCTACGGTGACGTTCACGTCGGACTCGTCGCTGGCGTAAATTAAATTCTCTCCCTCGATGACCAACGTGTCGCCTTTGTACAGCTTAATGTTCTGCGGGAACGCGAAGAACTTGGGATCCTCGACGTACAGCAGACGGTTCCTGAGGCTCTGAAAGTGCTTCTCCAAGTCCCTCACGCTCTCCACGTTGTCCATGATGAACGCTATCTTCAGAGACAACTGGGAGTCCTTCAGTTTCAGCGATTGCGCCGGTGTGCTCTGGCTGCCGACTGCGCGCTCGTTGCGTCTAAGCGTCGTGAACCGCTTGGCGACGCTTGGACTCGGGCACTCCATCTGCGTGGGATTTAATACAG